AACTCCCCAATCGGCCCTGCTCTGAGCCTGACCAGGGGCTGCACCTAGGGATTGGGCCTGCCCTCTACCATCCAGGAGCAGGCCTAAGCCAGCAGGTCGTTATCTCCCGAGGGGTCCCAGACTGGGAGAGGGCACAGGCCAGGCTGAGGGAACCCCCCTTTCCCCGAGTGCACAAATTTTTGTGCACCGGGCCTCTAGTTAATTAATAAGTTGAATACATTTTATACATGTGCACTCTATATTTATAAAATATATTTGAGAGTCATATTTAACTTTTGAAAGTTACACATGGACAAGTCTAACAAGAACAAGGATTTTTGCAAAGTTATAGAGAGATAATCCTCGTACACTGATTTTGGATGTACCAGTTGGAAAGGCTCTTTGGAAAGTAGTTTAGCAGTAGTTTTTCAAACTGAAAATTACATAACTTGTGACCCAACAATTCCTCTTCTAGGATTCAATCTTAGAGAAGCATTTCCACATAGGTCTAAAAGAAATGTACAAAAACATTCAATGTTGCAGTGTTTGCCGAAGAGAAAAATTGGAAAACACGTAAATATTCATCAAAAGGAGAATGAATAAATTAGTGCCACATGAGTATGGTGGGATACTATATAGCCCCAAACATGAATTCGTTATAAAAATATAGCTAGATCTCAGAAACACAATGTCAATGGAAATGACTGAGATGTAGATATATATGACAAAACTGCTAAATTTGGAAAGATACTTGCCAAGCCCATAAAAGCCCCTTGGGGGTGATGAACAAGTCAAGGTGGGAAGATGTCAAGAAAGATTTTCACTTTAGAGATAATGTTCTTATATATATTTCAGAATTGAATGCAATAATTATGAAACTTTAAATATATCTCCTGATGAGGATGATGATGATAGAATCTCTGAAATAAGTGCTGGAACTTCTGACTCCTGGCCCTCCCCAGCCTCTGACTAACTCCAGTCATCATCTCAAACCACTGGCCCGAACTTGCTTTGCCGGGATTTTCGTT